GAATTAATTCCATCATTTGGTTATGATCTTGCTAAACATTGTTTAAAGCGAAATGATACACTTATTGCTTATCCTATTGAAATATGTATTAGTCTTTTAGAAAATAGTTTAAATGAACAAGGTCTTTTTCGTATTGCATCATCACAAGGAAAACAAAAAAAATTAGTTGCTGAACTTAATTTACATGCTATTGATAGAGGAAGAACACTTTATGATCTTAATTATGATCCACATGTTCCAGCAAGTACACTTAAACAATATTTAAGAGAACTTCCTGATTGTTTACTTACAAATGCACTTTTATCACAATGGAATGATGTTATTTCAATCAGGTTTTTATCTTTTTTCTTTTAAGAGAAAAATGACAAGATACATTTTAATTTATATTGAGAAGAATAAAAGATATATTGATTTAGTTTTTTTTTTGAATATAATTGATATTAATCAATCTATCTCAACAAAAATTTCGTTTAATTCATATATTATATTTAAAAATAAATAAAGAAACATTTGAAAATTGAAATAGTTAAGATTATATTGAAATCAATTTAAATCAGAGATGGGCAAGCTCCGATCACTCCACCCGCTCCAGAGCACTTTTCGGCCGGAGCGCTAATGTATGCAACTGAAGCGGTGACAAACACAGGTTGGAATTCGACTTTGCTCCGAGGGTTCTGGTCGGAGCGATAGATTTTCTGTACTAAAATTTTTTCGCTCCGGTCAAAACCATCGGAGCAAAGTCGAACTCCAGCCTGTGTTTGTTACCGCTCCGAGTAATCTCAGTAGACCGCAACTTTTGCTTGTTACCGCTTCAGTTACATACATTAGCGCTCCGACCGAAAAGTGCTCTGAAGCGATCGGAGCTTGCCCATCTCTGATTTAAATCTATCAATCTTGTTGAGATATATATAGCTGTCAGCGTCCAAACTGAGATTATGTCCAATCTCAGATCCGAGACTGGACGTGTCCAATGTTGGATTGACGCAATTCTGTTCACTAAAATATCAATAACTTTTTTGTTAGACGTTGGATTCGAACTATGTTTTGAAATTATGTTTGCACAATGCCGTTTCAAGTTTTACAAGCATTTAGGAAAAAGTTAAAATTAGACTAAAAAATTTAATAAAAAATTTTCACGATAAATAGTTATTGATATTTTAGTGAATAGAATTACGTCAATCCGACATTTGCCTAGGCCAATCTGAGATTGGATGTAATCTCAGTTTGAACGCTGACAGCTATATATATACATTTTTTTTAATATTTAAATATTTGACAATCTTTAAGAAATATTTTCAATAAATATTCGAATCTAATGTCCGTTTCAAAATATAATGCGTCCCACTGTTTTTTGAATAACTCAAGAACGCAATCAGCTAGAGATCTACGGTTTTCACCAATCGAAAGAAGAGACAGGGGGATGTCTTTTTCTTCAATATTGTATCCGACAAAATCATTTTAGAATCAGTCATTTCTGCAAAACATTGCAAAAAATGCATGAAAACGACCCGGCATTCTGAAGAAATTTTTGCTTTTGACATGTGATCTAGATAGAGGGACTTCGGATCTATACTTCAGGATATAATTCGAATGATTATCTTACCGCATCCTAACGTTTAGCAAATAAAATCGTCTATTTACTCGCAAGAAAACTATCAATTTCTTTACTTTTTGTCAAAATTTCATCTGAATGACAGACCATTTTTTCGATGTTATGCAGAAATGACTGGTTTCAAAATGATTCCGTCTGATACGATATTGGAAAAAAAGACGCCCCTCTGTCTCTTCTTTTGATTGGTGAAAACCGCGGGTCTCTAGCTGATTGCGTTCTTGAGTTATTCAAAAAACAGTGGGACGCAATCTATTTTGAAACGGACATTAGTAGAGAAATTCAATACGAATGATAGATTCGATCGAGGATTTATATATATCAAGTTTTTTCAGTAGAGAAAAAACTTTTTTTTTAATTTATTTTGTTTTAAAAATCTCTACTTATCCAATTTCTTTGATAATACAATCATAGTTAAACATTTTGAAAATAATTTTATTTATTCGTTGTTTTTTTCTTATATAAATCCTAAACAATAGGATTATTGGCTGATTACAAAATAAAATCATAGAAAATCAAAGATTAGGTAGATAAGAATATATTTTCATTTTCTATATATATATATATTTACTTAGAGATGACCAAAAGTTCTAATCCTTATCAGACAAGGTAATCTATTCAGGCACATTGAATGAAATATAGTAAATTATGTTTTCATAAAACAATGCTACGTATATAAGATTTTAACTCGTCATAAACTCTACAAAATCATATGTGAGAAAAAATATTTTACAAATACTTTCGACTAATATCAATAAGCACAATGTTCAGTAACATATACCATGCTTAGCTATGGGTATCGAATAGTCGCCTATCAATAAATTGACTTGAGTTCCTTTAAAGTTTTATGAAATTCTGGTTTACTATATCTCATTCGCAAAGTAAATATGTTCTATAAATTTTATTGAGATTATGTTACTTTATTCTCTTAAATAAATATATAAAAAAAATAATAAAACTATTTAAATTTTAGTGGTGAACAAGCTCGTCTACAACGAATAGCTCAATTAATAAATAAATTACCTGATATAAATCTTTAGGTATTTTTATTGGATGTAGTATATTATATGGTAAAGATCAATCATCATCCCAACAATCGATTTCAAATTCTTATGCAGCTGCTTCAACTATTCTTGAACTTATAATTATTCATCATAAACAATTATTTACAAATTCTTCTGAACAAGAACAAACGTCGAAATCATTAAAATGTCAACCTGATCTTATTCCAACTGAATTTCATTCCGTATTTTTTTTTCTGATTTTTTTTTAAAATAATTTTTCTTTTTTTTTTTATAGAAAAGTCAAAGTGTTTCAAATGAAAATTTATTAGATATTCAAAGTACACCAGGATATCTTCAACCGTATGTTATTTATTCTATTCAAATAAAATAAAATAAAATAAATCTAGATCTCCTGGGACACATCGAAAAAATAAAGCACCTCGTCCACCAACAACATCTTCAATTAATCAACAAACATCAGTTGAACAACTTAATTATGAAAATATTTCATCTGGTTTTAATTTAAATAAGATAAACAAATAAAACAAATGCTTATATCAAGAATCGTCTTCCGAATCTAATCGGATCAAGAAATTATGAAAAAAATTTGCAGGAGGTTCTGTTTCTTTTTATGCTCGCTTTTATTGCCATATATATATAAATAACTGTTCGTTAAATCAGTATATTCTTTGCTTTCTTCGTTCATTATTTATCTAAACAAATTATTGTTTAAATAAATATAAATAATCAACATTGCTCTTTCGATCGTTAATTAAACTTAAAAATAATCATTTTGAAAATAATTAAATAAAATTATATTATTTTAGTAACAAGTTCATCAAGTTTTAGTCTGAATGATAAAATTCATTGACGTACACCAAGCGAAGGAACACAATTAGATCGTCCTGGAGCACCATCACCTCTTCCACCATCACTTCTTATATCAACTTCACCAACAGTTCAACCACGACAAAAACTTTCCTTTCCATTATTAAAAACAAATAATGAACAAAAATTTTCGACGACAATTGAAGATAAAACAATTGAACATGAATCAACAACAGATTTGTCAACAGATTCAACATCAACGACAAATGATGGTGTTAATGTTGGAAAATCAAATAATAATCGAATATCTTCTTTTAGGAATAGCACATTACCTTCACCTGGGAACAACTGATTTCTAGTCTTTTATCATCCGGTGCTTATTTTATTATTATCAGTGACTTATTTAAACTAATTTCATTAATTATTATCTTTTCTTTTCATTTCATTTCGTTTCGTTTCGTTTTTTTTCTTCTATTTGATCGATTCTCTTCTATACATATATATATATATATATAAATCAATACATTTCTACTGTTTATAGTCAAATGAAACAAACGATTCACAGTTTTTTTAAAATTTAAATCATCAATAATAATTGTTCTTTTAATGATAAAATTTGTCATTATTATAAAATATGATCATCATTGAACATGTTTAGACTCAATCAATAATTTAAATATTCTTCTTGTCGAATTGATTCTTTTTCATAGATCAATATTTTAATTGAATATTTCAGTTTTTAAACATTTTTCAAGGGGTAAACAGCAGACTTGGAGTCGAAACGTACGTCACAGTAACTTCTAGTTCAAAAGTCTGCCGTGTCCTTCTCAGGCTCCCCGATTAGGGGGGGGCTGGGGGGGTCTAGCCCCCCCAAACTTGAAAAACTGTCCGACTTTCTGCGAAAATTTCTTATACTTTCTGCCAATTTTTTTGAAAATTTGGTAGTAATATCTGGCAGAAACTCAGTTTTTAAGCACTAATCACCATTTTTCTGGCAGAAAGTCGAAGGACAATACTTTCTGTCAACAAAATCTTGCAGAAAGTCGATCAAATTAGTATTTGTTGTTCAATTTCTGCCGGAAAGGCAACTGAGACACTTTCTGCCAAAATTTTTAGACTTTCTGCCGAATTTTTAGCCCCTCCCACTTTTCAAAACAATCGGGAACCCTGGTCCTTCTTGACATTTTTATTTAGAATTTTTTCTTTTAATTATTTATTTTTATCAATATTTCAAGGTTATTTTAAACAAGTTTAATTTTTACTTTCGAAAAGATTGTCTCTTACTTTTACATAAATTAATTTTCTACTGTAAAACATATTTAAAAATCAGTCTTATTCACACAGAATCAACATGTATTATGATCGAAACTTGAAAAAAGAGAACGATAATCGATACATCTTCAATAATATTCAGAAGAGATGCAGGAAAACTTATCGTATCCTACTGGAAAGTACCACTACCTGTCCGTACTTCTCGATCTGGATATGGAAAAAATTTTCGTTTTAACTTTTTCATGGTAGTTTTGTTGAATCAAGAATTCATTTATCATTATTATACAAATTGTCTTCATTTTTTGCTTTATAAATACAAATGTTTCCTTGATATTTATTTGAATAATGTAAAAATTTCATCTATATTCATTTTTCAAAACTAAATAATATGCTTATATGAATGAATTTTCACTATTTAGTACAATTGGGATTTTACATCTATGGGCATAATAACTTTCCTTTGTGTTCAATGGCTCAGTTAGTTTTTTCAAATTTTACTTTACTCTAAGTGTCTTATACACAAAACAAATTCCAGTCCATTAGCCTGTACGATCGCTGCTCTAAGAAAGATACATTTTAAAAACAAAATGGTATGCTTTTGCTGATCTGTCGAAAGAAAAAGAAATCTCTTGACTATATTGAAACAAGAAAACAGAGTACAAATAGTTCACTTTTTATAGCATTCAATGCTCTATCAAAATAAGTA